AAGAATGTACAACAACAGGACTTATTGCTGAACTGCAAATTCTATAAATTCAATCTCAACAAAAAAAATCGAGATGGGAATGCGGTGCAATAAAAGAATATCCTCTAATAATAATAATTAAGAGCCAGACTCTTGTCGGTGTAGCCTCCTCCACTCCTCACGGTTCTTAGCTAGATTCTTAACTTCTTTATAGACTTTCTTGATATTCTTTATATACGCCATTCTTGATCCTCCTCCCTTTCTTTTCTCTTCTGTCTTCCTCTTAATTATCAATCTCACAAAATCGATATTACGTAACAAATGTCTAAACATTTTCCCCTTCTCCTCTCTATTGCATTCAAAAGACTTCTCTCCTCTCCAATCCTTTTCAAAACTTCCTCATTTAATATCTTTTCAATCCATTTTATTTTTTCCATTCGCTTCCAGCACCACATTTCAAATTACTCCAATATCTCTCTGTCTTTGTTTGTAATTGTCTGTAATACTAATAAATATAATAATATTTCCATCCATAATCTTGTACGAAAAAATATAGTTAAATAATAACACTATGTAATTAGACAGAAATAAAAGGATAGGGGAGAAAGGCGAAAGTTGGGAAATGAGAGTGTTTCTTGACACATTGCTTGAGCTAATCAAGAGAAAAGTTATTGTATAATACTATAATTAATATAATTGATCAACTAATTATTTTAGATGCGAAAGCACGAAATAACAGAAGACTTGGCCAGTTATTTACTGAGTCCAGACAAGGCAGATCTCCGACAATTGAATATTGGTTGATGGCGAAAATAAAACCTTCCTCTGCGATTGTCAACCCGCCTGTCAAGCGTGTCGATAGCATTATCATGTATCAAACCAGTCTAGATTCCTCGTTCTAATGGGTCGTAGTCAATCCAGGTGAAATATAATTCGGTGATACTACACGTACTTTCCTTAGAGAAAACTAATAGCTAAGTGTGGACTGTGTAGTTTTAGTCTGATACGGTCCGAGGTTTATGTTCCATTGTGTTCAACAAGGTCCATTTTATGTTTGTATTTTTTTTTTTAGATTTTAGTTTTTGGTTTTAGGTGTGCAATTAGGTAAGGTCTCCAACACATTTAATTAATTATGAAGAACACTGAAAAAGAAAATTCATAGATTTGTCACAGATGGCGCTAAGGAAAAAAGTCGTTAAATACCAAAATCAGAGATCGAATGGATTTTTCTTTGTCTTCGATCTTTGTATTAATAATTATAACATACTAGTGGAGCAATTTCACAAAAAATAATTGAATATCCTGGTAGTAAAACTTAATTTTATCTAATTGAAAAAATGTCAATGAAAGAAACAAGTAATTTATTAATACAAAGATCGAACGCTTAGAAAAAATTCCACCGGTAAAATCCGGCCGGATTCAAACCGACGTCTTCTGGCATACCGTGTCAGACGCTATGCCAGCTAAGCCACGGAACGAACCAGTGGACCTCAGGAATTTTTCGATGTGCTTGTTTTCGGATCCTTGTTTTTGACCGTAGCGCCATCTGTGAGAATTCTATGAAAGTATTTCTTTTAAGTAATTTGTTTCCATTTGTGCCTGGGCACAATGATTGCAGTAACAAATTTCAAACACGTTCAGATCGGGATTAAAATAACCACTATGTTGTGGAACGGCACAGATTTTCATATGGCCCTTGGTGGTAACATCACTGCCCATAAACCAAAAATTAAGTCAGGCGGAGTGCCAAGTTTGTTAGTGTGTGTTCTAGTTTTTATATTCAATGTCTAGCAAATTTTTTACAATACAAACTCAGCTACACTTACAAAGTTTGATTACTGCATAGAGCTGTGACGTTAACTTTAGCACTTCCTCCTAAAACACCGTGGATTTCGTACATGTCCCACCGGTGGATACACTCCGCCTGATAGGTGAGGTCTATGCTCCACTAGTGGTGTATCCGGAGGTGAACGAATTATGCCACGATTGATTCAATTAAGAGCTTTGATTGATTCCATAAATCTCCCCTTGATAAGATGCCTCTTGAGTAAATACATGAAGATGTTGAAGTAGTCTTAAAGAATATTCCATTCAAGTTCCGTATCTTTTTTCTCCTATCCCCATTCTCTACTTATCACTTAGGTACGACGGCTTTATGTAATATAAATAAACACAAAAAAGGTTTTCCATGAAACTAAGCCAGGTACATAAACCTTTACAAGTTTTTTAAGTAATCTGACTTTCATGATATCTTGAGGCAACTTCAGGTATTTTTGTTTGTGTACAAGAAAATGTTTTTCTGTAACGTTTTCCACAATATCCGTTTGATGTTACACGTGGGTGGTATCACAAACTTTGCGAGACTATTACCATGTTATATATGGCAAAGTTTTATTAAGATACGAAGTTATATTATTATTACGAAATACATAGTGGAAATTTAAGGCTGGTCAGTAAGTCACATAGTTACTTTTCTTTATGTTACTGTTAAAATTTTAAAAAGGTTTTTTTCAATATCTCACATTCAAGGAAAGTACCTTTCGTGACGTGTCAGTTTGTCGAAAGCTTTACTAAAGTCAGAAATAATTTACAAGACATGTAAACTCTACGATTGTTGTTTCAAATGTTTCGAATTCTACATTTTGTAGACAGGTGACAACTGATGTAATGCAACGGATATATTACACACTTTGTCAATTTGTTGATTTCCTCTTCCGTAATACTCAGAATTACTTATTATTCATATGTAAAAGTAAAAGCTTTTTGCGATTTGTGACATTTCTAATACTGTTATTACAGTTGTTTCCTTATCGACCTTTGATCTTTACCAGAAGCAGGATCGGATAGCATGGAAACGAGTTTATCTTGCAGACTATGCTATTTTCTCAACATCTATAAATGCCATCAAAAGACGTTTAAAATTTATAGAATGTCTGGAACAGATTACCTGTAGTTATAACGGTACGGGTAGCAGACCTTGCTGAACCGTTTCAAATTTCCACCCTGTATAAGGGTGTCACCACACTTGTCGTCGCGGAATCATTTTCAAACTGCATCCGTGGCCGAACGGTTATCACGCTGGACTGCCACGCAGAGTAATATTTGTATGGACTACATTTATTTCTCTCGTGAGTTTGGGTGTAATTTGTGGTTGTCTACCTTTGTGTGTGTTCATGGCACCCGCGATACAGGGTTTCCCTAGAGCGTTGTGTGAAAAAAAAATTACAGAAAAACAAAAATTACGGAAAAGACGTTGTGAGTTTAGCTTCCGCTTGGAACGCCGATGCATGAAAAACGAACAACGGAAGCAAAACACACAACATATTTTTCGCCCTTATTGCATAAACGTAAAACTTTTTTTGGTTGGATCAAGCCGATTCCACGTTAATAAGTGTAGTGATTCCCTAATTTTTTATTTTGTGATCTAATTAGCTTTTCTTTACGCTTGTACGCATACTTAGAGATTCAGAGATATAAGGAAGAATGTTTGAAAATTTTCCGCCATAGGTCTTCTTTCTCTAAGGTAATTTTCAAAAAAAACACAAAATTCTGAACGGCTACCATTTTGAATCCATACGAATAAATTATAGAGCAGAATATAAATCAAGTTCTTCTCAGAACAATCTGTTGTTAGTCGAATGTTAAAGTTATTTCTTTTCAATATTAATAATTCAAAAGGAACTGAAGCAGACTTTCCTATTTGTTGTTCTCGTAAACAGGCCTCAATTCGTGTGAGGGCTTTTTAGAAGTTGTGAATAATTCGCGTACACATAATATAAACTGAAATTAGTAAAGGACATAATATCGTTCCTTGTGGGAACCAATGCTAACGCTCTAATAGCGAGAATAATGGGTTTTCGAAAGAACTTGTATTGACGTCATTTCTTATTTCAGTTTCAGATAATTGGTATTAGCATAGACTCACAGGTTGTGGTTTTCAGTTGAAATTCATAAATACTTAAAAGAAGCGTTTTTTTTTCACTACGTTGAGTATGTGTCTCTTTGTCGAAAGTTCTACTCGAGTCGGATTTAATTTATGGGAGATATAAATTGTAAGATTGTTTATTTCAAACGTCTCAGATTCAGAGTTTCGTAGGTGACAATTAACGTAATGAAATGGATATATTACACACAGCTGTCGTGTTTCGAAGTTGCGTGTCGCAGTGTGAGATTCACTCAAAATTACAAAATTTTAGAGCCGTTTGTTATGTGTCACTTCTTACGATCGTGTGCGTGTTTAGGCGCAATATTCGCAACTGAATTCTAATTACAAATCTCAATTTGAATTCTGCACCGAATCACATTGTACAAAACGATGTTTTTATCGTACCTTTTCTACCAAGTCAAAGAATAAAAAGTTCAATTAGAATTAATTAACTTATTATTCGTACACGTGCCTTTTTTACTTTGAGCCCACAATCCTTTTGGTATTTTTTAATATACCATTGTCGTCCTGTCTAAATTAGGCCTGAATTTTAGGACATTTTGTACAAAATGATTTTCCAGAAACTATTGCGACGCAATTTTGAAAATCAATACGACATGTATAGATAGTAATTATTACTTGCCTATGAGAAACTTTTGATTGTACATACCAACTTCATACAATATATAGGTGAGGCTCTTCTCATATTACAATTATGAATCCTATGTCACTGGGCAATTTCAAATTTCTACAGAATTATACGCGATATTAAGGACTTGCGATTGGTTAGTTGAAATTCCTTTTTTTGACGAATTTTGACGATCGCATTGTAGCCGACGACAGTTGGTGATAGTTGATGTTGTTGGCCGTGCAACCATTCCTAGCAGACCAATTCAGAAAATGGTTTTGTTCTGTCAGTTTTGGATAGCTTTCCCGAAGTTCATTTCTTTGCTCTGGCCAATTTTCTAGATTAGTTTGAGATCAGGTAATTGATGTGATTATACGCCGTGTTTGTATTTCGATTGTGGGTTATTTCAATTTGTGACAAGATCAAGAAGTTGACAAAATTGATATATTTTTATTCATTGTCCCATAGCCATGGAGAAGCAGTTTACAAGCAACCCTGAAAATGTGACGGCTCGGAGAGGACAACCTGTGGCTCTGTCATGCGTTATCAGCTCAGCACCGGCCGCTGAACTCCTCTGGCTGAGAAACGAAGAGGCTCTCCCTGATGGTGACAGGTACAATACTAGAATTAATAAAGAACTGGTTTCTCCGGTAAAAATGGGTGTTCCGTTGGGCTCAATACTTGGACCTTTCTTATTTCTCATTTATATTAATGATCTACACTTTTTTGTTAAGGACTTTTGCGAAATAGTATTGTTTGCTGACGACTGATGATTTTTAAAACAGACAGACAAGACGTTAACTATGACAATATTAATGATATCTTTCAAAGGTAGTTTATTGGTTTAATGTTAACAATTTATTGTTCAATGCCTCTTGGCATTTGTGGTTTTAAACAAACTTGGCAGACAAAGTGTGCTAAATTTGAATTACCTAATGTATATAATCGACAAGCCCAATCATAGAAATAAATGAAGAAAATTTAGACCTTGTTAATAAAGCTGTCTTTTTGGGAGTGACATTAGATAGTAAACTCCAATGGTTTCCACGTACATATATCTTCCTTGGCCAGCAGATTAAGCTCTGCTGCATACGCAGTTCGTAGAATACGTGAGGTTACCGATGTTGCTGCTGCTAGACTAGTTTACTTTAGTTACTTCCATAGTATAATGTCCTACAGGATTCTCATGTGGGGTAAAACGGTAGATATATAAACCATATTTGTTTTGCAAAAACGAGCGACTCGTTTTGTGTACCGTTTAGGTTCTCGGATTTCTCTCAGAGAAAAGTTTAAGGTGACTGGTATCATGACTGTGGCATCGCAATACATTTACTCAAATATTTTGTATGCTCGTAAAAATATACGAAGACATCCATAATATTAACCTTAGAACTAAGTCCAAACTCATGGTACGACGTTTTAGTTTAAGTAAGGTAAACGATTCTTTTATGGGGAACTGTATACGTTTTTACAATAACATTCCGGAGCATATATTAAGATTACCATTTCCTAAGTTTAAAACTTACATTAAAAGTATTTAAATTTAAAAGTCATATTACAAAATTGGGAAACCTTGGGAGACCTGAACACAATGCTCGAAGATCTCAGTAGTGTTACCCAAAGAGTGGGTCTTAAGATGAACATGGACAAGACGAAGATCATGTCGAATGTCCATGTTGTACCCGCTCCAGTTAAAATTGGGAGCATTACACTCGAAGTTGTTGACCATTACGTATACCTGGGGCAGACAGTCCAGTTAGGTAAGTCCAACTTTGAGAAAGAGATCTCTCGTCGAATCCAGCTCGGATGCGCAGCGTTCGGGAAACTCCAAAAAATCTTTGCGTCCAAATTACTTCAATGTCTCAAGACGAAAGTCTTTGACCAGTGTGTGTTGCCAGTGATCACATATGGATCAGAAACGTGGTCCCTCACTATGGGCCTCATAAGAAGGCTCAAGGTCACTCAGCGGGCAATGGAGAGAGCGATGCTCGGTATTTCCCTGCGTGATAGAATCAGAAATGAGGAAATCCGTAGGAGAACTAAGGTAACCGACATAGCTCGAAGAATTGCTCAACTGAAGTGGCAGTGGGCGGGGCACATAGTTAGGAGAACCGATGGCCATTGGGGCGGAAAGGTTTTTCAATGGCGACCGCGCACCGGACGACGCTCAGTGGGTAGGCCCCCCACCAGGTGGACCGACGATCTGGTGGAGGTCGCGGGAAGCCGATGGATGTGGGCAGCGCAGGACCGATCGTCGTGGAGATCGTTGGGGGAGGCCTATGCCCAGCAGTGGGCGTCGTATGGCTGAATGATGATGATGATCATGATTACAAAATTGTAGACTACATGTTATATAAAGATTTATGAAAAGACAACGTGAGTCTAGATTCTACACAAATGTGATTCAAAACGTATTCTATAACATTTAAGTTTATTTGAAAACAGCAATCCCTAGAGTTCCTTGCTTGTTCTTCTCATGAACTTGTAGCTTAAAAAAATGACGTTTTGATTTTGACTTTGCGTACAATGTGATCACTGATCGATGATCTTCATCTTAAGTAAAAGGCTCTGGTCTCCGTTTTCTGTGTAGTCAAAGACCAGGTAATTGGTCACATTGTTCGACATATTTTCTTTGACGATTTTCGCACAAGATTTAGCCTGGTTAGAGTTTTCTTCTAGTGCAGCTGTGAGAATACTTAGAAGTAGATTTTGTGTAGAATATTTTTTTATAATATTAAGTGACGGGACGAACAAGTTGTGTGCCTGGTGGTTAGCTACATGCCTGTCAATAATAGACAGTGCCACTCAGAGCTTTGAATCGCAAAGACACTACCTGTCTGCGCCTGTCACCCAGAGACATGAGTTGACAAGTCCCATGTGCCTGTAATTTCACCAGCACCTTTACCCTTCTAAACCGGAACACAGTAATGCTCACATTACTGCTTGATGGCAGAAATATTTAAGGTAACAGTATTTCTCCTGACGAAGTCTTTCACAAGGAGCCCTACTGCTACTAAAATTCACTCTCTGTGTGTAATACACATTTGAAATTGCTTATAACTAAAGAATGCAATCCAGAATGGTTTCCAGTCAGATAAATCGACTTGCTGATGTTTTGTGGCGAGCGGTAAATTGGATTGTCTGTCAGATTTCTTTTATAATTTTGAAACCGCATGAAGTTGGACGTGTGAAACGGTTGTAACAGATTTCATATTAATGCAGGTACCACACGCTGTCGAGCCAGCTGCTGATCACAGATGTCACCAGCGCAGACGCTGGCGAATACAGGTAATTCAATTAAAGACGCTCATGGCGTTGTAGAATTTTAAAGAACTAATTTGACAATACAAATGCATGGTAGCTGAGTGGGAGACCGATTGCTTCTCAGATGAGAGATCTACAATTGAAATGCTAGTGGCGACTTGTACATATGACTTTTATTTCTAAGTTACGTGCATTTGTGACGTAGCAATATTTGTTGATAACTGTAAAGAGAAACATTGTTATGAAACCTGCATGTCGAAAAAGATTCACAACTCCTGGGTAACGTGTGAAGTCCCGCATTCGGCCAGAGTGACGGACCATAACCTAAACCTTCTCCTTGAAGAAGACCCGTGTCATCAGCATGATGATGATTATAGTTATTAACCAAAGACCCGTCTGCCTCACAGATGCATAGCAACAAACCCTCAACTAAACAAAACCCGGACGAGCCGCTCTGGCCATCTACAAGTGACGGTTCATGCCGAGGATCAGGAGCCGTCGTTTCTGCCAGTCTATGTGGAACAAAATATTGCAGTGGCGAGAGGTAGCAGAGTGATTCTGCCGTGTCCCGTTACAGGGTGGCCACGGCCCAAAGTAAGTTTAAAAATTCAAAGGATCCCTTCATTTATGCGCCCAATTGTGTATCGAGGTACAATTTATGTCAAACAATCTCTAAAATTAAATATCCATTAACTGAAATCGTTTTAGTTTTGATAGAAATTGCTGAAAAATGTAATTTTACACTGTCGTAATTTGACAGCGTTCATTGTAGCTATTAATCGGGGTCAAACTTTCCTCTAAGGGGTCAATCGAGAGAATATCCGTAAACGATAGTCAAAATCTGTGATGAATATATCAAAAACACAAAGAGTAATACTCCAGAGACGCGATACAAACTTAACACAGAACTGAAACGGAATAAAAAATGCCTATGACAAGCCGACTGTGTCAATAGGTGACATTTAAATGGTTTAACAGCTTGGGACATAGTCTTTTAGCCAACCTTATTAGGTATTGCATTAAAATAATATGACAATGAACTCGTAATGAATAAATTATAAAAGAAGAAGTGGTTATTTCTTACAGACCTGCAAAAGCCGATTAGACCTATTTTTTAAACAATTCCAATTGCTGAATACTTACCATTTAAAGTATAGCCATTGCCATGTATAATTATTGTGTTGTCAGTCATTTATACGTTCGAAACCTAGAGGATGGAAATAGTCTTAAGGTTCGAACGATAATTTTGAGTGGTACAAGGTACAAGTGAATAATATATGTTTTTTTATGAATTCGCCGTAATGTTTATAAACAAAAATATAATATTATACTACCTGCAGTACATCTTTAGGCCCAAGTTGTGTGGAAAAAAATGGATCCTTTCTTTAATTTATAGGCAAACAAATTGCTTTTGATTTTTTTTTTATGAGAACAAGTCATTTTTCTGCGTTGCAGATCAGTATGGTAACCGTTCAGTCACGGAGGCAGTTATTGTTTTTTTAATTTAGTTGCTGTGCCCGTCACTAAATTCTTTTATTTTTTTTCCATCCTCTATAGATGTATGTTCACATTTGTCATTTCAATACTTATTTAACAATATTATATCAAGAGACAACTTGGCATAGTAAACATAGAAAAAGTACTATCATAATGAAACTGTTGGTCTCCTGGACAATTACACTAGTTGAAAAAATTGCTTCGATCCAGCCGAATTCGAACCGACGTTTTCTATCAAACCGTGTCAGGCTCTATGCCAACTAAGCCACGGAACGAACCAGCGGACCTCACGAATTTTTCTATGTGCTTGTTTTGTTAGATCTTAGTAGGTATACGGTTTTTTCAACGACTTTGACTGCAATATTTATTGGATCAAGAAATTGTTTTGACTGACCTCTATGGCTATAACGATAAGAAAAGCCTAAAGTTCAAAGTGTCTAATTTGTTGTGCTCTTAAGTGTAGAAAATTTTTCTTTTCCTCTATATTTCTTCTTATTATGCCCAACCATTTTTACTTTGCGAGAATGGAGCGACGACTGCTCCTCATCTTTTTGCTATTTTTTTAACCGACTTCAAAAAAGGAGGAGGTTCTCAAATCGACTGTATGTTTTTTTTTTTGTATGTATGTTACGCGATAACTCCGGTATTTGTGAACCTCGAAGGGTGACTGTTCACGCATGAAGATTCATTTTCATAAATAGCGCCTAACATTAATTTAGGAGCAATTACTTTAATGGTTGATTTTGCTATTTCTCCAATTCAAGGCGTGTTTCTCTCAATATACTTTGAGTAGTGAGAACCGATTTTTATTATCTCCAGTGTCAAATCCTGTATAGTGGCGAGCTAAGGGATATATCAATAAAACAGCAAATAGACGTAATTCCACGTACTTTTGAGGTCGGTTTTTTTAGTACTCTGTACTGAGATTATTAATATTCAAACAGTGAATTCAGTACTATATTCAGTATTTTTGAAAACTTTAGTAGTACCTTCAATATTCATATGCCTAATGCATGGCCGGACACAGTGAAACTATACCTACCTATTTTGTACATGTCAGCGTCTATACAACCTGTGTTTTCACAAATAAATGAATCATGAATAAGGCTACTTATCCGCGATGAAGAGGTCTCATCCCACCTTGAATCTGTACAACTGCGTAGTGCGTATGTTGCATCTCTTAGCACCTTTTGTCAAATATATCATAGACCTTCATTTTCCTGCTCCGAAGCACGCGTGCTGGCCTCCATAATCGCCATTTTATAACTTGCCGTAGTCTCTCAGTAGGTAGGTTCGTCCAGGGAAGTACTGCCATCTTTCTTGTTATACAGTATTGTGAGCAAAACTGCGTTCCGGTTTGTCAACTTATGTCTCAAGGTGACGGACGCAGCGACAGAGCCTCGTAGATCTTTCCGATTTAAAGCTCTTAGTGGCACTGCAACTGCTATTAATAAGCGAGTTGTTTACCACCTTGGTATCATAAAAAAAATTTGTTTCTTAGTTTAGAGGGTCACCATGGTTCGAATCCCTAGGCGGCATGTACGTTACGTACACTTTTGAAAACATCGGAATGAAACTAGTTTGTAGAAGATGATGCACACTCTTGGAAAACTTGTGAAGTCACCAACCCGAATCAGCGGATAATTAGATAGATAGATAGATAGATAAGCATTTATTCAGCACCATTACATTATAGCATTTCATACAACAAGAGTAGAAACTTTACAACAAATAAGCACTGAAAAGGTTTCGGCTCAGCATAATGCTGCCAACTTTAATTTAATAATACTTTAATTGACAGTGGAATGTATAAATGGTTCATAAATAAGGTTTATCTTTGGAAATCAATATGCGAATGAGGTACCTGTAGCAAAACATGTCATATATAAGACTTGTGAAGTCATCTGGGGGAGTATGGCGGACTATTGCATAGAACATATCTAACCTACTTAGGATGCTTACAGATCGGGGGAATGTTCTGTACGTCTTTAATTAAATCTCATAATGTGCGATGAAATCTCAGATCGCACTGCGTAATGCACAAATAGGCGCATTCGCCAATTTGTACGCACCCTTAGTTTTTAACAATATGCGATTAACGTTTTTTTCCAGTTGATCTGGGAGCAGTCGCTTCCGGGCGGCAAAACGGCAGAGTTGGAAGTGACAGACGAAGTATTCGTCATTCACAGCCTGGAGTACGACCAGGAGGGCACTTACACCTGCTCCGTTGTGGGCCACAGTGAACTAACTAAGGTAAGCTGAGAAAATAAAAAAATGACTGGACCTATCGCTGCCTTAATATAAAAACGCAGTATTGCACAGTTATTTTGATCTAAGAATACTGCGACGTAGAGCAAGTGGTACTTTGTCGCGAACCACTAAAAAATATATCCAATCAAGATTATTTACTCTGCTTGTATATTATATCTCAGTAGCGTAATATAAATTCACAAGTGTGTGTATGTGGCAATACCGGTTTTGATGCTAATGCTGTTTGATACCATTTCCACTGTTATTCCGTGATAGAAAATATTAATTTGTAATTTTCTTTTCGGTAACAAACACCGTATGATAAAAGTTACAACAGTTATGTTGTACCATAGTCGACTGTAATCTACATACTACAATCCGTAACTTAACGTAATTATATTATGTAAATGGTCGTGGTAGTTAATTCCTCTTTAATATGCAATATAAGTAGTCAGTTTTTTCTTTGCAACGATTAATAACCAGAAATAGAGACGAAATAAGGGCCATATATTCCTGGTAGTTCATCAGTGATACATCACTTATAAATACCAACTCTCGTTCGCACTGAAATTATAAATTAGAAAGCTGAAATAGTACAACGCCAACAACCCATATGTACGTTTCCGTATTTTCCAAAAAAATTCCGTATTTTTCGTAATAAAGATAATATCTCTATAGGAGCTGTTCCATTCCGGGTGTGGGAAAAAACAGCAAAAATCTAATTATAAAACAAACGGAATCACATTTCATCGGTAATTGAATATTAAATATGTAATTTCGCAATTTTCGTCCATTATAGCAAAGCTCAAGGTAACTGATCGATTTGAAGTGAAACAATTGACGACACCCGTCAATTGTTTCGAACTCGGGCTGGCCAATCGGAGCGCAGTTGTCACAGTAATGATATGGCAGAATAGTTTTCAAACAAATTAAATGACATTTCGTCTCTATGTCTGGTTATATACTCGATGTTTCTTTATAATATTATTCAAATATTGACATGAGCTAAAATTATTTTCTGAACTTTGACAAATATGCACGCTTCCATTAAGAAGCGTCATCTATCTATACTAAGGTAGATGGCGCTAATCATAATTAAAAGAAAATTATAGCCGGCAGTGTCCATAAAAATCTGTTCAATAAGCGCCATCTAGTTGATTTGTTTGTTATCACTAGAAATTAGAGTAGCTTTGGTAAATTATACGGGTAGTTCGTCAATGTAAAACAAATTAATTATAAAAATAGCTATTTGGTATTCGACGCGACGTATAAGTACTAAATATACTGTCTTGTACGACGATTACAGGTCTCTTGAATTATAAGTCCATGGCTGCACATTATGTCGCATGAAATGGATAACACACCAAGGTACTTAGAGGACAGAAAGAAATAGTTTAAGCCAAGTTATCATAGACTTAAAAAGATTGAAACTTTTGGCTTTGGATTTATACAAGTTTCTTTTTTTAAATAAACAATTTTATTTTCTTTTTGAGTTATATGACAATGACGAACTGCGTAACATAATTTACAAAGAAGTTTTCAAATAAATATAATTTACTCTCTGTTGTACTCTCAACTTTTGAAGACTTCTAGATGTCTATTGCGGATTACTTGTTCTGTTTTGTTATGTAAATAATTCATCAAAATTGTAATTTCCATTATTGTTATAAGACACGATATATTTGAAATAATACAAATAACATAGAAATTCTTGGGAGTTAAACGAAAGTCTGAAAGCAGAATTTCATTGTATATACGTAGAGTTCAATATATTTACTAAATAAGTTTATTGCATAATATGATCTTTACTATAATAGGTAGTTTATTTTTATTATTGATTCAAAGATTCAATAAACACAAAGAAACATTCCTTCGAACCCAATGGAATCAAACCAGCGTCAAAGTTCATGTTGCTGCTTTGGCCAGAAATAGAGACGACATGTCATTTACTTTGTTTAAAAACAATTCTGCCAAATCATTACGATGACACTGCGCTCCGATTGGCCAGCCCGAGTTCGAAACAATTGACGGGTGTCGTCAATTGTTTCACTTCAAATCGACCCGTTGAATTAGAGCTTTGCTATAATGGACTAAAATTGAAGAATTACATATTTAATATTTAATTACCGATGAAATGTGATTCCGTTTGTTTTGTAATTAGATGTTTTGCTGCCACACCACCGATTGGACCGGCCCCCCCATGTTAGAGATATTATCTTTATTACAATAAGTACAGAATATTTTTTGGAATATACGGAGACGTACACACAAGTCAGTTGTTGGCCTGTCTATATTTCAGTGCAAACGGGAGTTGATATTTATAAGAGCTGTATCGCTAATGTGTTACCAGGAATATATGGCCCTTATTTCGTCTCTATTTCGGGTTATATACTCGATGTACTAAACTAAGTTACTACCAGAAACAGTGCGGGGCTACGTGTGTAAGGCTTTACCCTCTGATATAAAAATTATAAATAATAATCTATTTAAACGTCAGCTGATGTCATGGCGAAGAGATAAAATTTTCTATTCAATTAATGACTTCTTTACATATAGTTCTCAATAAATTTGACTACTTAACTTATTTGATAAGGGTTGTATTTATATTTTTTGACATCTTCATGACATGGCAATAACTTAGGGAGTGTCAAAGTCAAAACATTTTTTTTTTCTCTAAAAACCGTGCGGTGTTGCCTAGCAAGTTAATGAAACTACCTAGTTAAATATTATATCGAGAATGAAGCGACGAAATATAATTGACGACACCCGTCACTTGTTTCACTTCAAATCGACGAGTTAACTTGAGCTTTGCTATAATGGACGAAAATTGAAAAATTAATAACACACACACTCAAAATAGATCCGCACTAGGAAACCCTGTATCGCGGGTGCCATGGAAACACACATAGAGAACAACAAATTACACCCAAACTCTTAAGATAAATAAATGTAGGCCATACAAATATTCCCCCGGCCCGGGAATCCAACCTGAGTACTCAGCGTGGCCGTCCGGCATGGCAACCGTTCAGCCACAGAGGCAGTTATACACATTTAATATCTAATTACCGATGAAATGTGATTCTATTTCTTTTGTAATTAGATGTTTTGCTGTTTTTCCCACACCCCGAATGGAACAGCCTCCCTTAGTTAGATATATTACCTTTATTACAATAAATACATAATATTTTTGGAATATACGGAGACGTACACACAGGTCAGTTGTTGGCGCTGTACTATTTCAGCTTTCTAATTTGTGATTCAGCGCAAACGAGAATTGATATTTAGAAGCGATATAAGGCCTGATGAGTTGCCAGGGATGGATGGCCCTTATTTCGTCTCTATTTCTAGTTACATACTCGACGTTCGACGTACAGGTTTGATTACGATGTTTTCCTTCACCGAAAAGCTCATAAATATCAAATTAAATTTCGTAATAAATACCGAAAATCTCCGAACCCGTATTCGAACCAACGGCTTCAGTTTGAGAGACGGTCGATCAAACCAATGTTATGATATAATTATTAGGTTTTTTTTTTTCAAAACAATAATTCGTTATTTACCGTATTGGTGACGCTGCTACCGTGGTCTCAGCTCAACGGTTAACCTAACTCGGTGTACTGTGAATGATCTTTAAATGATTGTTTCTCTATGTTTTACGGTTTTCCCTTTACGGCAGCCATAAAAAAACAAAGATCATAAATTTTAATGGCCAAAGGAAACATAGTTTCGTGCTGAATCATTATTTACTGAACCGACGTATCGGAAAAATGACACGTACATTGAACCGAGGCTCAGAAATGCCAGCAGGCTTAGGTCACACGCTTGGAAATTAAAATTAGTTAGTAATAAAAAAATATACTAATTTGGATATGAAACTATTCAAGAACTTTTCAACTTGGTTCCACACTCACCGTTTCTCCTTTAGGTGGCACCACAGCACACGGCCCGTGGCCCGTGTCCGCTGTGAGGGCCCCGAGCGCGCCTGTGAAAGAAAAAAAGAAAGCATCTTAAGCTTCGGTTACTATCAGAACCGATGTTGCCAAATCTCACACATTGTTAATTTGAAACACTACGAAATCTTGATAATGATTGGTCATAGCTTCAATTTTAAAAAGAAATAACAAATTCTGGATTGTTAATATAATTTTAAACTTTACCCTGTTGACATATCGTTGAAAGTTCAACACCATCAAGATCTATTACTTTCGTTTCTTGTAACAAAAACATTATTTCATCAATAAATAGAAAATTGAAAATTTATTAAATAAGACTTGCCGATGAAATACCACCACGGGTAATTTTAATATTTTTGGCGCGGCAGTCATTTTTGTATTCCAAACCGCACAATAAGGCATCTTTCTACGATTTTAGAGAATTTACGTGAAATTAACACAACCATGTCGTACCACACCCCAGGCACTCCATACAACGGTCAAAAGTTATTTATGTACTACTACATACAAGGCGCTATCGGCACACGCACAAAACGTGTGCGTGAAGTGGCAGGGTTACACCTTGTCTGTTATCTATAATTCTATTAATATAATCCTAATAATTACCCATGTTTATTAGGTATTTATATCGATATAATATTATATGTTTCATTAATTCACTAACTAGAATAATTTTGAAGATTTATTTAAAAAATATATTAAAAGCACTTAAAGTGTTATTTTTGGACAGGTACTTTTAAATGAGGTAACCAAGGGATTTGAAATTGCGGGGGCATATTCACTACATAATATTTATCGGTAATACAATTTGAAAATTCGAAAATCCTTGTCTAGTAGGTCACGAACTTATGGCGTCTCACTATATTGATATAATAAATCTAAATTATATATTGAATGAGTCTCAGGCATAAGTTTTTTTACTTACTTCGGTTCATCTTCCGGAAAACGACAGAAACTCCTTCCTCTCTTTATCCCGTTTAGATGATGGTAAACAGCTGTACACAACACAATTTGCGACCATTATAAGTAACGCATATTTTATATTAACCT